TGGAGTTAATGGTTTCTTAATTCAGAGCTCATTTGGTGACTTTAATTTCCAATTAATTTTGCCGATTTTCCTCCAAGGCGTTCATGATGTGATAGAAAATTCCTGCATGGAGAGGTCCCCACCCCAAGAGACCTGGAGAGGGTGGCAAAGGGAGAGGCCGAGGTCACGGAAGCCTGGACTCCTGCCTGGGTATCTGGAGTTTGAAGCTCTGGGGTTCTGGAGGTCTTTGGGGAGCTCAGGGTGCTCAGAGAGCCGACTTCCAGGAAGAGCTCGACAAGAACTGTTAAGGAGCTGGCAATACCGGTGCACTTAGGCTTCCCCTGCAGAAAGATCTAATTTATAAGAGTGGAGCAGAGGAGTAGCCCAGCCCTGAAAAGAGGGTTCTGTCCCTTCTGTCAAGCAGTGGGGAGGAGTGGGGAAGTCTTGGTCTGGGCCAACACCGTTGGTGCCCTGGCAGCATAGGAATGTGAACCCAGACCATGTCATTCCATACTCTTCCTTAAGCTCTCTGCTGTCCAGAGATGGCGCCAATGGCCTCCATCAGCTACCCCACTGTCAGAGACCATGTCAATGTCCAATGTCCCACAAGTGCCTGAGGGTGCTGGGACCCCGAGGATCAGAGATATATCACAGTGGCTCCACTGTGCCAAGGCATGCTTTTAGGCTAACTTCCTCCTTCCTACCTGGGTGTGGTCCTGAAGATTAAAAGCTTGTGCAGAAGCCAGAGAGATGGCTCAGACCTTAAGAGCATTTGTTGCGTTCTCAGAGTTTGGTTCCTAGAGTCCGCTGCTGCTTCTAACTCCAGGTCCAGTGGATCTAACGCCTTCTGACCTCTGTGAAAAGTGTGTGCCTCTGTGAAAAGTGTGCGTGTGTGCGCGTGCACACACACACACACACACACACACAAAAACAACAGAAGTTTAATATATGTATTAAAGCATGGTGCAGGTTCTAGCACTGACCATTTCTTTTTTTTCTTTTTCTTTTTTCTTTTTTTTTTTTTTGGTTTTTCGAGACAGGGTTTCTCTGTGGTTTTGGAGACTGTCCTGGAACTAGCTCTGTAGACCAGCCCAGCCTCGAACTCACAGAGATCCGCCTGCCTCTGCCTCCCAAGTGCTGGGATTAAAGGCATGTGCCACCAACACCCGGCGCACTGACCATTTCTTAACTCCCTCATCTTCCACCAGGGGATTCTGACTCTCTGGAGGGCTCTGTTATGTGCAAAATGGTCAGTAACAAAGTCCATCTGTGTTGTCTTTTTGCTGCTGTTGCTGTTAAATTTTGGAACAGGGCCTCAAGTATCAGGTTTCATGTGTAGGCAAGGCTGACCTTGAACTTCTGACCCTCGTTGCACCATCTCCCGAGTCCCAGGATTACAGGCACAAGCCACCAGGCTTGTCTTGTCTTTTGAGACAGAGTCTCATCTGTAGTTCAGGATGGCCTAGTCCAGGCTACCCTTGAATTCATGGCAATCCTCCGAGCTCTGGGATTGCTGGGGTAAGCTGCTATGCCTGACTGTGACAAAGTCTTGACAAGTTCTCACATTGTGGTTTCATAAAGTAAAAACATAGCTCTTCCCAGGAGATCTCCCTCTAGAGAGCAAGATCAAGGGAGAGCAGGAGAGTCGGTTCCCACAGTCTGCAGGTGCCAATGGCTCTGTGCCCAGGGGCCAAAGAGCTGCTAAAGAGCCAGGTCATAGTGACCGCTCCACACCCACTCTTGGAACATTCATCCATCCCTAAGCACTGATGAGATGCCTGACTTCTCCTGGGGTCTCTCCCATGCAGTTCATGTCTGCTGTCCTCATTAGCATTAACTGTCAACTTGACACAGTGAGAATCACCTGGAGAAAGAATCTCAACTGAGTAATTGTCTTCATCAGGCTGGTCTGTGGGCATTGTGGGAGGAATTGTCCTGAGGATTGGGCTGTTTAAGAAAGCTAGTTGAATAGCAGCCAGAATGAGCCAGTCTTGTTCCCCCACAGCTTCTGATCTTGCTTGAGTTCCGGCTCTGGCTTCCCTTGTTGATGGACTGTGACATGGACTAGAAACCAGGTAAACCCTTTCCTCTCCGCAGTTGCTTTTGGTCAGAGTGTTTTGTCATAGCAACAGAACGAAATCTCATCTGCAAATTCTCAGAGGCATAGTCACAATAACTGCCATCAATTCATTGGCTCTTGCCTTACCTAATCTTGAAGGAATGGTTCCCTACAGACACCCCACCTCCAGACTTGTGTGACTTGGACTCTGTGGAGATTCTGCTTTGTACCTAGGGACAAGCACTTGCCACTGTCACATGAGGATGTGTCCTCCTCCCCAAGGCCCTCTCAGTGAGGCAAGGAGCTGCAGGAGGGTGTGCCATGCTCCTTAGATTCCCAAAGCACCTGGTGTGAAGGGAACGATGGCTGTCTGATCTTCATTACTCCTCCAAGGAGGAGAGCACCCTGATGACTTGAGGCAAGGCTAGGGCAGGGCAAAGTGGTGATGGAGGGTAAACACGTGTGGTGTAAATGTTTTTTTTTCTTTTTCTCCCCATAATGCCTTTTCTTCTCCACACATTACTTAGCAAGATCACGTTTAAAGACGGCTTCCTTCCCACAGGCTGGAAAGGCAAGCAAAGGTCAGGGCAATGTACTCCGCTTGCTATTACCCCCTTGGTCCCATCCACCCCATCTCCCCTAAACCTCGCTGAAGTATCCATGACACAAGTTGCTGTCAGATCAAACCTGCCGCTGGAAAGCTCTGGGCACAAGAATTTGCCAAGGAAGAGAGTTTGGGGTACCTGTCTGTGACTGTTAGTCTCAACTTCAGCACGCAGCTTCAGAGTCCAGCTAGCCATTCTCCCTGAGGGGAGAAGGGACGATTACAAGTCACACAGTGCTCAAGACACTTAGAAGTCTTAGGGAGCTCAGGACATTCCAAGGCTCACAAGGTCACTCCTTCAGGTAATAGAAGCAATAACCAGGTGCTGGGGAGAGGAGACACTCCAGTGGTGCTGCCTGCAGATTGGGTGGGAGCTGTAGTTGGACAGATTTCAGTGACTTGTCATCCACGCTGGAGTAGGCTTTTCAGTGACATCACTGCCTTTGAGATACTCATGCCCCAGTGAGTAACCCCAATTAACTCTCGTTCACTAAGCCAGACTTCATTTTGTCATCATCACTGGCCCATCTGGGGTGAATGGATCATATGACAGTAGAACCAACTTGACTCCGAGAGCCAAGGCTATGAGGTGGTATTCAGTGTAACCACAGGGCCCACCTGTGTAGCTGGGAGTCAGCCCACACTGAAGCCTCTGTGTTGGGGTCCCAGCTCTTCTACCTCTCTGTTTGACAAGCTCAGCTCTGGCCATTCTCCTTTTCCATCAGAAACTGTCCTAGCTTTCAAACATTGATGTGTGAAATACAAATGGATTCCTTGATGTCTAACAGCTACTCTCTGGTTCTGAACTATCTCCTGTCCTATTATAGATTACAGCTGAACCTTTAAATCCACTCTTTCTCAAATTTGCCTCTTGCTGTCAAGACTCAGGACCTTAAAATAAAAACCTCACTGTCTGTCTGTCTGTCTGTCTGTCTGCCTCTGTATGTGTGCATGCCCAGAAGAATTTATACCATGATGCATGTATGGAGGTCAGAGGATGACTTAGCTATGGGTTTTTACTTTCTGCCTTTTGAGACAGTGTCTCTTGTTCTCCGCCCCAGACTATCTGGGCTGTAAGCTTCCAAGAATCTCCCTATCTCCATCTCCCATCTTGCGCTGAGGCTACAGGCATGTGCCAGTGCACCTAGCTTTATGTATTTCCTGGGGCTCCAAACTCAGGTCCTCATGCTCTCATGGCAAGCATTTTACTCACAGAGCCATCTTCCAGCTTACCCCAGGACTCTGGCACTCTTGCCCAGTTGTCTGATAGAAATTTATTTAACGTGGAGACTGAGACTGAAGGAAGGCAGTGACAATGGGCTCGTGGCACCAAGAACCACCAACTTCTCCCCTGCTGCCTACCCTTTCTTTCAACCCCCTTGCTTTGTCCTCCCAGATTCTGGTGAACATGGTAGAATTGTAGTCACCAGAGCATTCCATGTCTTCTGGTATCCAACTAGCTGAATGAGCCCCTTGAGGCAGTTAGATCAACAGAGAGCTAGCCACCCTTAGAGCCTTAGATGCCGGCTTGGTCCCCTGGAGTCCAAGAATCTGAATCTGTTACGAGTTCCCAGGAGGTGTTTACACTGCTACCCCAAGGACCTCATTCTGTGAGTAGGGCAGGGATGGGGGTTGGGGAAGTAAAACTCTGTCTCCCAGAAGTCCTTAGCACCAGCTCTCTCCCTTCCTGGTGTCTATGGTGAGGTGGGGCTTCCAGGAAGCTGTCACTCTGAACCCTGGGGAAAGGTTTGGGTTTCATTCTTATAATAAAATCACTGACAAGAACATACAATTCTCTGCAGGGAAAATAATCACAGTGATCTATACAGTGGTATACTGTAACAATATCAACAGTGGTGGTAATAATAGTAATAATGGGATTACTATAGAATGTCATCGGCTCTAATGTGCTAAGCCCAGATGGATCTGAGCAATAGAAAAGAATTACTGACATATACAAATACTGCAAATGACTTGCGTGGCTGTGTTTGGGGCCACTGGAGTGATGGTGATGTCTCTTCTAACAGGCACAGTTGCTCACTGAGGCCAGGTTTTAAAAGAACTTCTTGCTGGTTTTATTTTAGCAGCAATGACAGGAAGTGAGTGAGGCGGGCAAGCCGCTAGGATTTATCAGCAAGGTTCCCATTTACTTCTCCAATCAGCCTTCATTCAGTAAGTGTGTTTGAAAGGCTTCTTATGGAGTCAGAGACTTGGGCAGGGGTTGAGGTAGGGTTGTAGAGAAAACACAAATTAAATGTAACTCTACACAAATCACAATGTAAATTAAATTTGAATTTCAGAGCAACAACTGATTTATTTTTTCAGTGTAACTACATTACTTATGCAGTACAAGCCATATTTGGACCCCTCAATTTATTCATCATTCATCTGCAATTTGGATTCAATGAGATGCCCTGTGTTTTTATTGGATGAGAAGAATTCGAGAGATGCCTTGTACTCTCAGAACAAGCTCAAAGTCTGGTGGGAAATCAAAAGTGTTCAGGCAGAAGGTTCCAGTCCACACCAGCAACATTATTAGAATCTTCGTGAGCAGAGGAATCATTTGTGACCCTCACTGGTCTTCATCTTTCTACTAGGAAGGTCCTGGTGGGGCCAAGAGGCTGCACCATCAACCAGGTCGGGTGACTACAGGTCCTAAAGATTGAGATGAGGGCGATGGAGGAAGCAGAGAGGCTGGAGGGGAGGGGAGAGGTCTCAGTTCATCTTCAAGGGACAGGGAGAAGCTGCTTGGGGGAGGTGCTAGTTGGTGGGGCTTAGCCAGCATGATAGGGGGATAGGAGAGGATGTGTCCCAGGAGGAGAACTGTCTGAGGAGTCACAGGGGGCAGAAAGAAGCCTACAGATCTGAGAAAGGCATGGTTGGAATGTGGGCTTGAGACTGAGGTAGTGAAGGACTTGGCATTTGAGGGTCTATGGGACAGATGGAGCGTCAGACAGACTACCACAATCCACTGTGGCCAATGCTAAGTTGAATGAGAGTCTGATGGGTAGTTCACTCTGCCTGGAGATCTAGGAAAATGTCCTACATTTGGCTTCAGGATTTTGGGGTGTGTGGGGGGTGGGGGATAACACATCTTTTTCCAATGAGGAGAAAAGCAAATAACCCTTAGCAAGCATGCCTACCCTTTAACACTTTATTATTTAGAGCACAGTGTGGGGGTGAGGGTTGCATGTGCCACTGTGTGTTTGGGGAGCTCGGAGTGCAGCTTTCAGTTTCTCTCAGGCTATCGTGCGAACCTGGGAATGGAAGCCAGGTGTCTGACGTCATGGCAAGTACTTTAACTCACTGAGCACTGTGACAGGGCACTGTCATCCATGAAGTTCACACCCGAGAACACCATTGCAGTTGGTGTTCTGGGGAGAGGCAGGCAAAAAAGAATCACATTTTAAGTAAGCTTACAATTTTGTATTGGGTCACATTCATAGCTATTTTTTGTTTGTTTGTTTGATTTTTCAAGACAGGATTTCTCTCTAGCTTTGGAGCCTGTCCTGGAACTCACTCTGTAGAACAGGCTAGCCTCAAACTCACAGAGATCTGTCTGTCTCTGCCTCCTGAGTGCTGGGATTAAAGGTGTGTGTCACCACCACCTGGCTCATAGCTTTTTTGCTGCATGTGTTTGGACCTCATGCTAAAGGGACCTAAGTGGGTCTGTGTTGGGAAGGCTATGAGTGTCTGGAGAGCAGTGGCTCCATCTGAGCTGTCACAGCATCTCTATTACCAAACATAGGTCCTTATCAGTGCAGGGCATGAGGACAGTCAGGGGATGAGATAGCTTACAGCAGCCCCATCCCAATCCTAAGACCTTGCTCATCCCACTTATACCTTCATACCATGGTCAGAGCATCAGTAGCAGAGAAACTGGTGACGTGGGCAGACCTGAGCTTCCAGGTGGGGTTCTAGAATCATGGGATCACGGTAGGTGTGTGGCCTTGGGATGCTGCAGAGCCAGTAGAAGCTTTTACAAGGCCTCCTCTGGCTAGAATTTATCATGACACCCAAGATGGGTGGCTACTATACTTCCATGTACATCTTTTCCTCCTTCCTTTCGTAGTTTACCTGCATGTCAGCTGAGTCCATGCCCCCTCAGAGTAAAAAAGTCTTCATTTCCTGGCCTCCCTAGATATGGTCCTGAGCTGAGTTCTGACCATGAGGAAAAGGCAAATGTCCCCCAATAGTGAGTGTGGGTGCAGGACAAGAAGAAAATATTATTATTACTATTATTATTCTAAGTATTCCAAACAGTAATCAACATCGAGGGTTGAGCACTCATGAAATAAAATGATGAGCCATGGAGAGGGGTTAATGGATAAAGAGCTTTGCCACATAAGCATGAGGACCTGATGTAAAGTTAGGCATAGTAGTATACTTGTCTGTAGTCCCAGTATTTCTTTGGTGAGATGGAAGGTGGAGACCGGAGAATTCCCAGAAAAGGCCAGCAAGCCTGGTATATGCGTTGTGGAAAAGCCCTGTCTCAAACAAGATAGTAGTCGAGACCAGACATCCAAGAATTTCCTCTGACTGCTACACATGTGCTGTGGCATGCATATGCCCACATTCACACACATGAACATGCACACCCCCCACACACAAATTAAAATATTAGCAATGCAGTCAAATCATTAGCAGGGCTAGAAACATGAAGGTTGTGGAAAGTTCCAGGAAATAGCTGCCCCAGATACAAGGTGGCCAGACAGGAGACTGGAAGAGGTAACTCTGTGGAAACTGCCCGGAGTGGTACGTTTGTGTCACACACTTCTGTTCCCAAGGGAATGGAACCTCAGCTTTCTTCCTATCTTCTGAAGAGCAGCAAGTGCAGCCCATTGGCCAGAGCCTTGTGGCAAAGAGCCGGAACAAGGCAATACACTGCAATACCCTGAAAGCATAATGTGTACGTGGAGAGAGGTCATGATGAATGCCACATGGTAATAATCACTGTCACTCCTTTCTGCTAGCTGCTTGATGAGGTCAGGTCTTGCCAGGTGACCCCAGAAATGCCTCAGGGGCTGAGACCTTTGCGAAGGTGAGTTATAAACTTGTGCCTTGTTGAAGTCACTGTTCGAACTGCTGAGCCACTGTCCCAATGCACCTCTGAGAAGTGTAAGATGAGGTCTGAGAGGTGTCACTTCCAGCATGTGCAGTATTGATGTCACCAGAGGACCAATTTAGCCCAGCCATCCATAGCAGAGAAAGAGCCCACAGACAGACAAAGCAGTATTCGAATCTGTAGGAGGCCTGTGTCGAATGAGTGCCATTGGATCTGCTCAGGGCAGCTGGATGCAGCTCAGAGGGGTTGAGGTGTTGGGGAAGACTTCCTGGAAGAGTCTCTCACATTGCAGGAGATAACAGGCTTTCCAGGAAAGGTCTCTTTCCCTCCACTGCAGAGTTAGATCAACTTGCCAGCCTGCCTTGCTTCCAACCTTTAGCCACTGCTGGCCACTCCGTTCCAGGAGAAGGAAGACATAGGGTCTTCAGGAAACCTGGCCCATGGATATTCTGGTGAGGCAGGTTGAAGACTGGCAAGGTGGCCTGGGAGATGGGAAGAAATGGGGTTAGGACAGTTTTACAAGGCAGTGCTGAGGACAAAGTAAACACTCAAGAAAAGGCTTGAATAATGGCTCATCCCACCTCCTTTGCCCTGTGGCTCCTCTCCTCCCGTGGTGCCTTTAGCTCACCTGTAGCCTAGATACTAAAGACTATCCTGTGGACACACATGCAGACCCAGGGGCTGGCCCACACTCAGCCAGTTGGTTTCTCTTGATCTGTCATTGGTCAGAGCAGGTGTTAGGATGTGCATCCAAAGACCAAGGTCAAGGTTTGATCTGTGACCAAGGTCGAACTCTTCAGACTAAGAAAATCATCCTGGGCAGGACAGAAACTAGGTCAGGACAGAGACCAGCTTGTGACAAGGTTGGCCTTGGGTCATAGCTTAGTCTGGTGCAAGGACCAGATCTTTACCTAAGCACTGGTGCAGGGTTCAGCCTGGGGCTGGAGTCTGGGAGGTTTGGTAGGAAAGGGGCAAGAAGCAAACACTAGTGTGCTCCTTCAATTTCATGCATTGTTTAAATAACAAAGCAAAATGTGGGGCTATGTTGGTATACAGTTATGTTGGTATACATGTCATATATCCCTTTGAGTCATCTTTACCCTTCATCTGATTTCTGGGGCCTTCTCCTCAGACTTCCCTCAAGCCAGTGGTCTAGATCTTCAGGCCTTTGGTAGAAGAGAGCATGCAGACTTCAAGGGAGCAATAAGCTGTTAGTATTCTCACAGAAGTTCAGTTAGTATTTGTGCTGAAGCCAGGCATGGGGCCAGCTGAGCAGGTGCCCAACACAGGCAGACTGCTGGACTCCCAGATTCCTGCAGTGTATTGGACACAAGTGCCAGGTCACCCTGAAACCCAGGGGCAGTCAGCAGGCGGGTGGACAGCCGGCTGGGCAGCAGCCAGCACTGCTGAGTTGGGGTAGCGGGTGGGGGTGGAGACTTACTCAGCTTGTTATTCAGCAAGCCCCAGGGCAGGTGATAGCAATTTACCAGTTCTCAGTGATGGAATAGCCCAAGAAGGGCAGGGAACCCCCACACCCGGCCCCCATGGGCATTCTCAGCTGTTAAAGGAAATATGAATTGACAGTAAGTGACAAGATTGAAAATGTAATTAAGGCAGATGGAACTAACTGGCAAGGATGAAAACCATTCCCTAGGCTTTGATATTTAAAGCAGGGTCACCGGACAACCCTATCTTGGCCACACAATGAGCAAAGAGGAGGCAAGAATGAACTTTTGGATAGTGGCCAAGATCTGTGGAGGACAGAGAGCAAATAGCTTCAGCAGCACTGAAAGAGATTTAGGTTAGATAAAAGGATGAACTTCCTAGAGAAGAGAGGGGTTAAATGTTGGCACAGGTATAATGCCATCTCGTTTTCCCACAGATACATGCATCCCTTCTGCACAGGTTTTGGCACAGTTATGAACAACTTGACTGTTCCAAGTCTGTGGAATAAGAAGTGACTCCATCTTTAAATGAGAATACTATCCAGGCAGAAGTGGGTGGCATTTGGGTAGTGGTCAAAAGGAAGGAGCTTGGTGTGTCACAAGTCCTCAGAAGCCTTCCTGCTGGCCAGAACTGGGGAAGCAGGGGGTCACAATCCATGAACATGGATGTACATACTTTAACTATGGGGATCTCTCCAAGAGGTATCTTCTTCCCCGCTTGGAGCTACTGCCCCTCAGTTGTCCAGGAGCAGAGAAGATGTGAGCCCACAGAAGAAGCAGACAGGCTGCCTGGCCCTGGATCTTGTGTTGGAGGGAAACCCATGGGCTGTGGCTACAGTCTGTCTGGGACATCACAGGAGGTGGGATGACTCACCTGAGAATCAGGGGTTCAGTACCAACATCTGGGCAGCCTTGCTTTGCCAACCTCTGCTGAGAGCCAGCTTAGCTTTGCTGAGATGGATGGCACTGGCCAGCTTTATTGGCCGCCATTCTCCACAGATCCTGTGCCAGTTCTCTGTGCTGGGCAACGGGGCAGGCTCAGTAAGTGCCTTCTTTGTGTTTGGTGAGTTCTCGGATTGGCAGGACAGAAGAGGTTCCTATTTAAGTCCAGGGCAGTGGTCCAGTACCCACTTACCAGTGTCTCTGCAAAAGGAATGAGTAGGGGCATCACTGTGGAGCCTAAGGAAGTACTTTGTAGTTTTCTTAAGGGTAGAAACCTGCCAAGCAACTAGACATGAGCAAAATGCTTAGCTGGTAACTCAAGGCGCCGAGTGGACTTGTGCAGTGGAGCAGGAGGGAGGATAAGCTAGGCAAGCTGCTTAGGAGGGATAGATCTAGGATCTGATGGGACAGGGTAAGAAAGGATGGCTCAGAACTGAGAATATTGGGGAGTGGGGGGGTGGCTCAGTTGATAAAGTTTCTACTAAGCAAGCACAAGGACTTGAGTTTAGAACCTCAGCATTCAATGTCAAAATCCCCGTGTGGCAGTTCATGCCTGTAACCCCAGCTCTAGGGTGTAGAGACAGGCAGATCCTGAAGCCAATCTAACCAAATTAGTGAATTCCAGGCTTGGAGAGAGATCCTGTCTCAAAAAATAAGGTGGAGCTGGGTGGTAGTGGCACACGTCTTTAATTCCAGTACTTGGGAGGCAGAGGAAGACAGATCTCTGTGAGTTTGAGGCCAGTCTGATGTACAGAGTGAGTTCCAGGATAGCCAGAACTATACAGAGAAACCCCATCTTGAAAAATCAAAAATAAATAAATAAAGTAGAGAATGATACAGGAAGACATCTTGATGGCAACCTCTGGTCTGCATATGTGCACTTAGACAAGCACCCCCCCACGTGTGCGCATGTGCACACGTGCACACAAACACATGCACACACACATGATCACACAAACACATGCATACACATAAACACATGCACAAACATACACACATGCACACATACATACATCACCCCACACCCATACCACACACACATAAACAAAAAGATGGAATGCATCCTGGGTGTACTTGATTGATAAGGAAGCAAATGTTCAGATGTGGGAACAGCGCTGAGAAAGTTTTTCTGAACATTAGGAATGTAGTGAGACCGGGGGATGAAGTATAGTTCCTTGATGGCTTTAGCACAGGTGAGGTGGCTGTGGGCCAAATGTTCTCTGTGAGAAGACCTTGTTCCTAGCCTAGTCCCTTCCCCAAGTAGATGGATCTGTCTCCAGGGGGTTAGGCCACATCTTTACAAACAGGACTCAGTCCTTTGTAGACCTCACTCTTAGATGTATGGAGCAGAAGTTTAAAAACCATATTGGAATAAACTGATAACTATCTACTGTGGGTAATGGTAAGAGATCAGTCACTCTGCACCTTCCCATGGTGGGTGAGGGAGCCTGTGAACTGGTCCCTCTATGCACTGGGCACTTCGCAGAGAGTTCTGAGGCCAACCATTCAGTCCCTGGTCACCAGGAAGGTTGTAACTTATACAAGTTGGTATTGACATTTGTTGGACTATCTTTCATCACAGGGTACATCCTTGTTATGGATACTGAGCATCAAACAGGCCAGCATCACTCAGAGATTGGAGAATCACTTTCATCTCAAGCACCCAGTACATTCATCCATCACAGGCCCAGCATTTACGCCTGCAGCCAGAGCTCCTGGTCTATCATAGAGAGATTTATTGGGGACATGAAGTCATAATTTATGTCACTCTTCCTCTCCTCCAGGGGCAGTCTTTCTGAAGCATCTCTATCTCTGAGTTACTATTCCTCACATCCCTAGATGTATGTGAGCGTCCACTGGCAGCCCTCCTTGAGGAGACCCTCTCGACTGTGTTCACCAATGCCAGGTTCTCATTTGGGAGAAGCCCTTCCTTCTGACCTTGGAGAAAGAACTCCGGAGTATGAACTATCATACAAGGAGGAGCTAGGCCCAGTCATATTTATCACTGTGACAAAGTACTCTACAGAAGCAAATTAAAGAAGGGTTCACTTTAGCTCATGGCTTCGGAGACTTCAAGTGCATGGTTCTTGGCACCACAAATGGGTCTGCAGTGAGACAGAGAGTCGTGGTGGTTGAAGTAAATGGCTGGGCATACTCACCTCGCATTGCAAGGGAAGCAGAAAAGGAGAGGGGGGGCCCTGGCGAAGAGACACCTAAGGACCTACTTTCTCCAACTAGACTGCACCTCCTAAAATTTCCAGAACTTCCTCAAATAGATGGGATCATGCAGCCAATTATGAGCCTCTTTATATCCAAACCCTAATAGGCCTGGTCCTGATTTGTTATTGAACCCTGGAGTCTGAGCATCAAGAACAGCCAAGATGGCTGTAAGGGGTTGATAGCAAGTCCAGATGCCAACTGTGTGGCTTGAAGTCACTTTCTTCATTTAGAGCTCCCCCCATTTCCTCCATAGAACAAAGGGGTTCACTGATGCGTTCCGCCACTTCTTTCTACTCTAAATCTGGGGAGCCAGGTAGCAATACCCAACCATTTCAGACATTATCCCAATAAAGTGTGGGATTTCTGGAATTGTAGAGGGAAGTCGGAACCAAGTACCAAGTGAGTCATGAGAAAACACACCTAATTGTTCATCATGCTGTAGGGATCTCAAAAAAGCTATTCTTTCAGGAGGAGGTCCTGGTCCCTGCCCCCCCCAGCACACACACACACACACACACACACACACACACACACACACACACACACACACACTGCTCCACCACAATCCCGCCAGGCCAACACCTGACACTTAATGGCCTCAGAGTCCATCTCAGGGAAGGTGGAAGTGATGGAGGACCCGGGCATTCAACTTCAGTGTTAGGTCGTTTGCACTTGAATTTCCTTGGTCCCTCTTGGACTTTTCCGTGGCTGTCACTGGCTGTCCAAAGCCATGAGCTTTAGGGCCCCTTTCAGAGGAGGTTATTCTAGAATAGAGTGGTGTGAGGTAAGGATCGACATGGAGGAAACTGATTGGCTCTAAGCTCCTAGCTGAATAGAATGCACAGTTAGGTCATGAAGGAACTAAAAGGGAAGGCTGCTTTATGGCTTCCTTCCTCCTTTTCTTCCTACACTGGTGAGGCAAGCCATGTACTCAGTAAGCAAGACCCTACCACTGAGCCCATCCCCAGCCTTATGTTTTGATTTTGAAACTGAAATGTATTCACACAGTTCAAAAATAAAAAAAGTATAGAAAGCAGCCTGTTTTAGCCCAACACAAAATCCACCCAAATCTCACTAGCATTCACATAAATGGATGTTAGTTCAAAGTCTATATAAGTAAGCACAGCATACATCCACACTTCACTTCTGCCTGCTTTCACAGACTTTAGAATCCTACACATGCTATTCTGTTTTCATTCCTGTTCCCTTCTTCCCTTCCTTCTTTCTTTTTGTTGAGAGAGGGCCTCATGCATCCCAGGTCCTTTCCATTTCTTAATATGCTCCTGCATTCATTTTCACAGCTGCAGAGTATTCCGTTGCAGAATTTACCTACAGCTTAGAATCTCAGAGCCCCAACACCCAAGTAGAAATGCATGACATAAGGACCACCGCACAGAGAAAACCATTTAACAACATGATCCATCTTCATCTGATTTTCAGTAAACAGCCACTGTGATTTGTTGAATAATTTTTCAAAGTAACAGTGTCTGATTCTTTTATGACTTAATAGGGTGAAAACACCACGTTCTAGTTTCTTTTAACACTGCTGTTCACTGGCCAGGATCAGGACGAGTTCGCCACCATTTCTGCCCGTGCTGACACAGGATCTGAGACCATTCCTGGTTTTGCTGATGTTGATGCTCAATTGGTTTGGTTTTAGTTTCTTTACCATAGGTGCCCATGTATCTTAAGTTTAGAATTACTTTAAAGTTTAACCTTATCAGTCTTACTCTTATGGTTATTTTCAACTATTGTGTACAAAGGCTAGATGCTATCATCTCTATTTTCATATAACACAATTAAAAATGCAATATCACACATTAAAAAAAAATCTTCCCGTGTCCAAATAGGTTTGAAGTGGTTTTACAGGAAAGCAAAGCTTCGGCAGAGAATTGTTTGAGATAAGAAGTCACGTGACTCGGAGCAGCAGCTCCCAGACTCTGCAGAGGGATGAGTGGAGGTGCAAAGACTCCGAGCAGCACCCCGGGGTTCTTACCCATTAGGCAGCAAGTTGGTCTCTCTGGGGCTTTGACCCTCCTCTCTCCTAGAAGGCATGGTGAACGGGGAAAGAAAGAGCTGCAGCTTTCACCGAAAATATGGAGCTTGTGGCAATTAATCACTCACTTTAGCTCTGAGGCCCTGGCAGCTCAGACCAAAGTAGAAGCAAAAGGATATAGTGTTCTCCCCGCCAGAACAAAAGGCCAGTTTTCAGGGGACATAAACAGGCTCCTGGCATTAAACTCTAAGCGGAATTTATCATGGGAGCCATTACTTAAGGTACACTGAGCTACGAGCTGGAGAGCAAGCTTCCCGAGTTCTGTAAAAAAACAGACATGCTCTTCATAACACCTTGTAGAAGCTGCAGCCTGTTCCAGAGCACAGCTGAGGACAGTGTTAGTGAATGCCAGCTAGCCAGCATGGGCTGCAGGGGTCAAAAAACCCGGGTCACTGGAGAAAGCCGGCGTGTGACAAGGGAAGAAAATACGAATGTGTGTGCTCAGGGTGACCGAGCAGAGAGAGAAGAGGCTCCCAACCCCACGCTCTCCAGACTCAAGGACAGCCAGTATTTCTGTCTGCGATGACGCTTAGTCTGAAGGAGGCCTTTCATCTTCAACTTCAGAAGCTTCTAGAACAATGTGGTGGGAGGGAGGAAAAGAATAGTCGACTGCCCCCACCTCGAATTTTTCTGCTTACAGAGGTGAGCATTTCCACAATCTCCAGCAGTTGGGGTCACTCTCTTGTTTAGCAGACACCCCAGGGACAGAACATAGACCCCGCAATACATGTTTGGTGATATTCCTAGAGGGGAGGGGCAGTCCCCAGTGTGCCTCCTTTCCCTTTGTCCTTAGGATATCTGGAAACCTCTAGTGTTTTATGTATCCTAACGGGTACGTGAAACTGAAATGCCCAGTCTCTCAAGCCTGGCTCAGCCCAGCCCCTTCTACTCAAATGAGGGCAGGGCAGGGCATCATGCAGCCCATCCCCCATTCCCTACTTAACCCACCTTAGTTCCAATTAGAGAACTGACCTGGGTGAGTTTGTTTTTGTTCTGAGGCAGGGTCCCATGTAGCTGAGGCTTGCTCTCCTGTGTGTAGCTGAAGCTGGCCCTGGACTCCTGCCTTTACTTCCCCAGCACTGAGATTGCAGATGTATGTGCCACCAAGCCCAGATTGGAGCTGAGCTGAAATAGATGAGGATAACCATCTCTATGTATCTGGTTGATCCTTATCCCTCTTCCTCTTTGGAAGAGACCTTAGCAATTGTAGAGACTGCAGTTGTTGTTGGGTTTTCTTTTTGAACTCTCTTGGGGGCCCACGACCTAGCTCCCAGATAAATATATGGAGTCTTGGTCTTGCTTATGAATGCCCAACCTTAGCTTGGCTTATTTCTAGCCAGCTTTTCTTAAATTATCCCATCTATCTTTTGCCTATGGGCTTTTATTTTTCTTTTTTCTATATATCTTTCTTTACTTCTTACTCCGTGGCTGACTGTGTAGCTGGGTAACTGGTCCGTGGTGTCCTCTCTCCTTTTTCTCCTTTTCTCTTCTTCTCTTTCTATTTATTCTCTGCCTGGCAGTCTTGCATATCTCTCTCCTGCCTAGCTATTGGCCATTCAGTTCTTTACTGGACAGGCAAAGCAACACAGCTCCACAGAGCTAAACAAATGAAACATAAAAGAATGCAACACATCTTTGCATCATTAAACAAACATTCCACAGCATAAATTAATGTAACGCATTGCAAACTAATGTTGAACAACAGGAGACCACTAACTACAGAATGAAACCTGACTTTCTTCTCTTCCACAATATGAGAGTCACAGCTAGTCATGTGGCTGCTCAGCTATAGACTACATGTTTCCCACCACACCTTGTAACAAAGTACTATCCCGGAGCCAAAACTGGCAGCATTATAGGTGACTTCACACTAGTAATTTAGTCTGCTCTTTCAATTATAGACAGTGCTGGGGCCATGGAGGAAAAAGACCTGCTCCAGGCACACACCAATCTAGGAACAAACTTGGGTGAGCACCTGGACCTCCAACTCTTGGTGGGAGCACAAACCTCCCTTTGTAGATGCTGGGCACACTGCAATCTCTACTACTTGGTGTAGGAGGCAGAGCAGCACCCATACCAAATGCCTACACCCTAATCCTGGAACTCGTGAGCTCATTACACTGATGTGATAGAAGGGGGCTGTGGCTGCAGATGGAATGAAGGTCATTAATCAGTTGATCTGGAAACTGGGAGATGATCCTGGGTTACCTGACTTGACTCTATGGGAGCACAAGGTTCTGAAAAAGGAGACAGAAGTCAATGTCAAAACTCCTTTCTATGGTCTCAGGAGCCACTAGTCAACCAAGATCTGAAATAAACAATTCATAAGCTTGAAATAACTTTGATTTTAGCATATTGAAATTGTTATATTTTATTATTAGTTATTATTGTTGATCTCTTGATGTGTCTCATTTATAAATTTTATCATAGATATGTTTGGATAAAATAGTGTAGATTGACTTTGGTACATTGATATCATTGCAGTCCTCCTCCTTCTCCTCCTCCTCTTCCACCTCCTCCTCCTTCTCCTCCTCCTCCTCCTCCTCCTCCCTGTCTGAAGGAAGTTAGGACTCAGTTCCTTGGAGATTGCACTGATGATGACTGACAGGGACTTTCGCATTTCTGAAAAGCATAGACTTAGAGTGACAGGCAAAAACATACTGTAAAGTTCTAATGAATCTTCTCCTACCCACTTCCTTAGGGTTGCTGACTTCTTTGTACACATTTATTTTGTGGGAGAACATCAGGCTGCAGGGTCAGGCTGGAGCTCTCTCTTTCTGGCCCTTTGGAAAGGGACCCAGATTAATGGTTTGTCCTGCTTCCCCCGGCCCTGGCCAGCCTCAGGCTGAAGGCACTTGTCCTAGTTAGATTTCTATTGCTGTAATAAACATCATGACCAAAAGTAACTTGGGAAAGAAAGGATTTATTGCAGCTTATACTCCTAGGTAATGAACCATCATCTGGGGAAGTCAGGCAATGAACTCAAGTCAAGAACCTAGAAGTAGGAACTGATCCAGAAGCCATGGAGGAATGCTTCTTAGTGGCTTGTTCCTGCTTTCTTATACAACCCAAGACCACCTGACCAGGGGTAATACCACCCACAGTGACTGGCCCTCCCATATCAGTCATGAAAGATCAATCTGATGGAGGCATTTTTCTTATTTGAAGTTCCCTCTTTCTAGATGCTCTATGCTTGTGTCAAGTTGATATCTATATCTACATCTATATCTGTACACACACACACATACACACACACACACACATATATATATATATATATATATATATATATATATATATATATATGAGAGAGAGAGAGAGAGAGAGAGAGAGAGAAAACAGAGATCTACCCAGGACCTGTCTCCTCCATCCTATGCCCAAACTCCCCAACTGCAGGTAGCATATTTGTCCTTCCTTTACAGCCAGAAGGCACTGGAAGCTTCTCCAGTGCTTGGCATTGTTTGGATGAGGGCTCATGCCAGAAAGGATTGGGATAGGATGAAGAAGACAATAAGGGCAGAAAACTGAGAGAGAATGTTGGCAGGGCTCCTGCTCAGGCTCTGCAAGCATCAGTTCATTCTTTCAATTATGAATTTATTCACTGACTACTTCAGTAAGAACACAGGGAGGGATCAGCTATGTCAGCCCTGGTCCTGCTTCTTAGGAATCTGCCAGATAACAAATGTTCCAAAAGTTCCATCTGCCTTCCAAACCTACCTTACAATGATTGATAAGCAAGGTCATGCAATGAGACCCACACTTATTCTTCCTGTAGGTGGGGAGACTGGAAAGCACAACTTGGTTTTAAATTTTGTTACCATGACCTCCTCATTCAGTGTATCTGTCCCCGTCTGTAAAATGCAGCCTGGTTTCAGGGTGGTCATGCTGTCAGGCCCCATTGTGATGCACATTTTCAGTATCTAGTTCATGGTGCCTGTTGACTCCTGTTGACTGCAAGTCATGTACTTCTTTATGTTCCCACATAAAACCAGGACAATCTGGAGATGGACTTAGAATCTGGGCTGAGCAGGGTGATTAAGGACATGGGAGTGCTTGGATGCTGTGGGAGACAGACATGTATCCATCTGCCATCAAGTAATAGCTGGGCACCATTTGTGGATCTTAAGGATTTGAGGAAATGGAGGATCCAGGATGTATGACCTCTGCCCTCAAGGAACTCTGCTCATGTTCAAAGGGTGGGCCAAAGAGACATTTAAAGCAACATAAAGAAGGGCATGACCCTGAGGCCATAACATGTTGCTTCAGGGCATGGATATATCCTGGAGAAGGAATGCCTTGTGCTAAATCTCTAAAGGATGGGTGACTGATGAAGGGGCTCTCAAGCAGGCCCAGCCACTGGGAACTCTGTGCTTAAATAAGTAAATAATCACACAGATAAAGGACATGAAGCTCAAAGGGAGGCACTGGGGGAGTTACAGTAAGTAGTGGTGGATGGATATGATTGATATACATTGTATAAATGTATAGAACATTCAAAGAATAAAGAACACAGAAATTGTTGTCTTGAAGTAACTATAGACTTTAAGAAGACATAGGGGCTGTGGAGATGACTGGCTCCTTTGGTACTTACCTTATGGTCACCAGGACCTGAATCTGATTTCCAGTACCCATGCAAAATCACAAGTTAGGGGTAGCAGTGCATGCTTGCGATCCTAGCACTGGGTCAGGTGGAGACACCTAGATACCCAGGACTCACAGGGCAGCCAGCCTGACATTTGGTGAGCTCCAGCCCAATGAGAGACTCCGTCTCAAAAACAAGCAAGCAAGAAAACAGACAAACAAAGGTAGACTGTACCTGAGGAATGACACAGTGCTGTTTTCTAGCCTGTGCACATGTGCGTGCATGCTCACACATACACACCAAGAGAAAGACACACACACACACACACACACACACACACACACACACAGAGGGGATGCAAATCTCTCTAGAAGCTATCCCTGGCTTCCCCACTGGTGTGGGAGGAAAACAGCCACACAGGTATCAAGCTAGAAAGTGGACCTTGGCACAGCTTAACTAACCAATCTACAGACCGTACTCTGCATTTGCCACATTTTTTTGTGAGTGCTGCTTGCATGTGGATATGCATATGTGTATGTGTATATGTATGTTCATCACATGTGTAAGTCCATTGTTGCCCTCACCAAAGTCAGGGTAAAGAATGACTCCATTACTGTGAAGGATCTCACTCCAGGGCACACCTTCAGATTGCCCACCTTGCACCTTG